AAAGAAAATTTAAATATTAATTGTAGCACTTACGCCACAGTTCACAGCCACCATGATGGAATAGTAATATATAATTAGAATGTTATACTTATAATATAGAATGTAAACACATTTTTTAATAGATTTAGTTTTTATAGAGTTTTGTAAAATATTTTATTGTTTACTCTGTAATCTGTATTAATATATAGATTTATGTTTGATCATAAACATAATATTAATGCAATGAATGACGAATTCGATTCATGTATGACTTCTATATATTTAATTATATTGAAATCCATATTAAGAATAAAATGTAAAATAAGATAACGTTAATTAAGATAGCAATAATTAGATTGTATTTAGACAATGAATTTTAGGTAATAAAAAACATACAGATAAAAAACAAAATAACCATTTTTTATGTTTTGTGTTAGAATAAGAATTTGATGTACAGATGAGGGTTCTTTTCAGATTTGGCGTTTCAAACATGTTTCTAAAACGTGTTTATTTCTAATGTGTACAATTTTCTTATGTGTACAATTTTTTCTGTGAAAGTTATGAGAAAGGAAAGGTGTTTCAAAAAAAATGTTTACATCCGTTTGAAAGAAAAGAAAACAAATATTTAGTTTTACTTCAAACACTAATTGTGGTGGAGGGTATACAAAGTTCGGCCCGGCCGAACTTAACGCCTGTTTTACTTGTTTTTTTTTCACTCTTTCGATTTTTTTTTGTTTTTGTAAAAACTTGCCATTTGAGGTCATCAAAAGTTCATTTACTGCCTTCATAATTTATGCCACAGAACAACATTGGTTGGCGGTTAGGGGATTTGCAGCTGAACTCTGTGGCTCCGAATGTATTTGTAGTTGTTGTTGGTATTTATTATTTGCTTGACATTACCTTGTGTCGACTTTTTGCTATCATCGTCGGTGGTGTGTGTTTTTTCACTCATTTTTTGTTACCTTTGCTTCCTTTGACACCTACCTGACAGGTAAAATGATGATGTTGATGTATTGGTGGCCAAGGGGGTTATTAACTGGCTACTGTGTGCATATCGTTGACAGGGTTTGTCTGTCTCTTTGTTTGTTTCGTTTTTACTTTCGTATTCTCTACTTTATTTCATTTGTTACATTTGACATTTTTTTAATTCACATTTTGCCTTCTCCACCCGTTTGTACGTTTAGTAACCTTAACCCAGTATTAAAACGGAACGAATGCACATACCATTACATACATTGATGTGTCTGTGTATGTATGTACGTGTTGGGTTGCACTCGAATGCGGCAGTTTAATTATTATATTTCACAAAGTATATGTATATATTTTTTCATAATAACTGTACAATAAACATTGCCGAATTGCGCTATAATAACATTTTCGATTGCATTGACATTTCTTTGTCGACCACAGCAATTATTGATGAATATTAAATAACGTGTCACACAACACAACAGTTGCGGTAGTTATTTTGCAATACTTCTTTGATTCACAGAGACTGTGAAATAAGCGTGTCATCAACATTGCGGTGTGAGAATGACAGAATTCGGAGAATAATTTGTAGTTGACAAACAAATTGAAATGTATGAAAAGAAGTTAAAATGTATCAATCGGTTTTGCCGACAGATGCATACCCCCAGCCATGAGTTATGATTATTCTAAATGTTGACCCTTTGTGGAAGAGGTTTCTAAGTAGTTGGCCAATATTGTCTATTTTGTATCTGACCTAAGTCTGCTATAAATTTAACAACGTGCCATATTTGGACAATATCGACTACCTTCTATACTTTATTATATATGTAAATTTTTGGAAAATTTAGAAATGTTGGTGAGATACCATATATAGAGGACCGAAATATTTCACTTCAACTAATACAGTTAAAAAATTAGTATGTACCAAATTTAAAAAATATCGAACATTTATATCATCTTTATAACGGATCTTGTGTTGATAGAAATATTCAGCTGTGTGTAACTTGAAGACAATAGAACTCTTACATCACATTTTATAAGAGTTATAATAATTCAAAATTTTGACCCTTTGTGGAGTAGGTACTTGATGGAGTAAACCGATATTGTCTATTTTCGCACCTGATCTAGAACCGATGCAAATATTAGGATTTGCATAGAGTCAAACGTTATAATTTTCACTTTTTTTTTAAATTTTATTGAATGAAAGCAAAAAATGTCGGAAATTGCATCAAATTTTAGAATAAGTTTAAATTTGTTCGAATTGGTCACCTTTGGCACGAATTATGACCTTCAAACGGCCAATGAAACCGTCACACCCTGCCCAAATGTGTGAATTTTAACGATATCGTAGCAAGTCAGAATATTCTGCAAAGTGAATTGCCTAAAAATGCACTTTAGATCTCAGAATTCATCAAGGTCCAAAATATATTATAAATTTTAAAATTTCATTTTAATTTAGTAAAAAAATCTTGTAGTTCCTAGTGGGTGCTACAGCCTATGACAGAAAATTGCATATGCGAGTCAAGGTTTTGGTATAGCCCTCATATACTTTTATTCGGTATTTTGGGGATTTAAGCGACATTATTCGGTAGAATTGTTTCAAATGTCGTATTTGAAGTTCCTAATCCTTACTACCGTCTGTGAGAGAAAGTTGCCTATGCAGGTCTACATCTTCATAGGCCGCAATATTACTGTAACTGACTACCTTCGATATTTTTGTATGAATTTAGTAGCATATTTTAACGTCTTTATCACCTCCACCATAGTATGGAGTATTAAGTTTATATATATATATATATATATATATATATATATATATATATATATATACGTGTGTTAGACCCCACAAAGTATAAATAAAATCCTATGTCGATTTAGCAAAGTCCGTCCGTCTGTGGAAATCACTCTAGCCTCCGAACAAAATGAAGTAGGTTCATAAAATTTTACTCAAATGTCTATTATGTCTACTGGACTTTTCGTATTGAAAATGGTTTTCGTATTGGTATAGCCCGCATATAATGGTACCTCCCTTTTTTCGGCATTTTGGTGACTTAAGCGACATTATTCTCCGGAATTGTTTCAAAATTGGTATTTGAAGTTCGTAATGGATACTACAGCCTAAGACGGAAAATTGTCTGTGCTGGTCCACGTCGTCGTATAGACCCTTATGTAATGCCTACAATCGGTATTTTTAAAATTTTAACAGACTTTTTAACGGATTTTATTTTTTTGAAAATTGCCAAAATTTTTATACAAGGAGGATATTCAAAGATCGGTCCATCCGAACTTACAGATTTTTTGCTTGTTTTGTTTGAAAATTTGCAAATTTCTTCTGTTTTTTTTTTAAATTTTCAAATTCTTTCCAAATGTACCTCCACCATTCATCTGTTTAATCTAAATAGTCAAAAACATTTTGGTCACTCCTTCTCATACAAGTGGGACCACTGTCTATTGGTCAGATTATACTATGTGTTGGGGGTATTATAAGTTTGATAGGGCCAAAAATTATGTAACACCTCGAAATATTGATTTCCCACATAGGAAAGTATATATGGATCTTCCTATTAATCACTTAATCACACCATGTATGTATTCACTCTACAGGTCGCAATTATGATCTGATCTTCACGAAATTTGAAATGGAAGTCGGGCTAGAGCCAGGATAGAACCCTATTTGTTTTTGAGATGATCGCATAATATTTAGGGGTTGAAATGGACCAAAAACTGAAAAAATCCTGATTTTGCAGTTGCTGTACAGGACGCAATTATGGACCAATTGAAGCGGATCGGGGCTAGAGCTTCTGGCTGGGTAGAAGCCTTCAAATTTTGGTTGTCATCGGATAATATTTAGTGGGTGAAATAGACCATAACATTTATGTTAAAAAAGCCAAATTTTCTATTAAACCGCGAATGTTTTTATTCACGGCGAAATCACAAATAGGCGAACAGGTCAATTCTGACCGTTACGTAGATGCCGATAGTAAAAATATCGGATATATATAGCGAAATATATACAATGTGTATACACAAAAGGAGGGGATGTTAGCTAGAATGCTTATATCTCAAGAATGGCTGGACCGATTGTGACAACTTTTGTCAATTCAGAATGCCCTCTTGGCATAAAAGAATAAAATCTAAAAAATCGCATAAAAAGATGCCAATAATGATGTTAATATAGATTTTGTTGTATTTTGTGACATTTTTTTATTTTTTCATATTTTTTATCGGATGCGATTTTTTCAAAGATGTCAGTAGTGTATTTAGGGGTTAAAATGGACCAAGAACTAAAAATATTCCTGATTTTGCAGACGTCATAAAGCTCACAAAGGACACGAAATCTCGATTAATGCCAATCGACACGCCTGAGAGAGTTAAGGACAGGGAAGAATTTTAGCATTTTGGATGACCATACTATTATATTTAGCTGTAGAATGGACCACAACAACTAACAGCACGACGGTGTGCGTAAATATTGGGTAAATGTATCTGGTCAAACTGCAAAGGCTTATATCTGGGCAGTGCTCCGTGACATAATTTTAAAAAGCGAAACCTTCCAACATGTATTTGGACATAAAGGGGCTTCTAACATATTGTAGTGTTGTAGGGTATCATATGGTCGGCCCCGCACGACTATAGCCTTTGCTTACTTGTTTTATATTGTGTTGAAATTATAGTCTTTTTGTAACGCAGATTTACCCATTTCACCAAGTCTTTGGTATAGACAAAATTAAATAAAATAAATAAATTTAAATTGCATTTAATCCATTATATTTAATTTTGCCCTCCTTGCGTGGGTTATGTCAAATGAGCTATAGGTTAACAATAATCGGATTAAAGTTTTAAATATGTATTTACATTGTCCAATGTTTAACGGTTTAATATGCTACCAACAAAAAAGGATTTGAAAATTAATAGCCGCTACTTACCATTGTAGCCGATAATTATTACCAAATGAATTTTTCTTTATTTATGATTTTATTACATAATTAAAAACAATTAAATGTTCATATTAATTATTGCAATCTATTAATTACATTTTATTTTTATTTCAGATTCAGATTGTTAAAATGACCGAAAAATGAAAACGTGCAGAATTTCGGTCATATGGTTCAATTATTAAATAAATTATTTGTGTGTCCTTTGTAAATTAAAAGACAGTTAATTCCCATTAAACTGGCTAAAATAAACAAAAGTCATAAATAAATCGGCGAATAAAGCACAACGCACACACACATACAAATATACATAAACAAGTTAACAATTTATTCGTTTAATAATTATCGTCGGCTGAATGTTATTGTTCGTCCGTTTCTCTCTCGCGTTTTTTGCAACAAACAAAATAAATTACCTTGGTCATGTAACAACTAATGAAAGAAACGAAACGAAAAGAGCAACACTCTGAATGCGTTACAACGTTAATTAAAAACAATTAATAAAACAACAACAACAACAAACACCAAAATACTGCCTACCGCCAACCCGCCCCGTGGACGACGACAACAACATTTCAACACATCTGCCATGCTAACGAGCAACAATTTATTAAATACTTGTAATTAGAGAGAAAGAAAGAAAAAAAAAAAACGAAAGCAACATAAAAAAAGAAATAATAACAAAACAAAAAATCCTCCACAAAAAAAGAGTAAACATAATTGTGTATTAATGTGCGAAAATATACAAAAGTGATTAAAAAAGTAATGTTTGCATAATTAAAAAATACGAAACAAATTATGAGCATTGTTGGCGTCTAATCAAGTGAAACAATTGAATTTTAAAGCAGTAAATCGAAAAGGACACCAGATTGTCTGTCTGCAGTTCTAAAAAAGGTAAGCTTTTAATTCTAATTTTCCGGAAGTTAAATGATCACAGAATTTAAAATTAATGTACAGCTATGTTTTTATATCCTAAGCCATATGGCTACGGAGGGTATATATCATTTGATACGGTCAAAACGTGCCTTGGGTCTCTTTGGACCATATCCGATTCAGAACATTTGGAGTCGATCTAGCGATGTCCGTCCGTCTGCCTGTCTGGCTGGTGCGCATGATAACTCTCGAAGGGAGTATCCGATTTGGTCTAAACTTGGTACATCGTAAAATTTTTGTCAAAATTAGATCGAGTTCGGAGATGGGCAACATCAGTCCACTCCTTCTGGTACCTCCCTCACGAAATTTTGAATAATTACAACTCTCATAAAATGTGATGTAAGAGTCCAAGGTCTGGTGTTAAGATGCAATGTATCGGTCCACACCTTCTGGCACATCTCCATGGTCGAATTTTTCAAAAAATGTATTTTTTTTTTGCACAGAAAGAGAAACGATAACCCGAATTTGCTCAAACTTTGCAAATTCTACTATTTGCGTCAGTGCCAGGTCTGGTGCGAAAATGGACAATATCGATCCACTCCTTCTGGTACCTCCCCCACAAACGGTCAAAATGTTGAATAATTACAACTCTTATAAGATGTGATGTAAGAGTCCGGTTGTCTTCAAATTTCACACATCCCAATATTTTTATTAACCCAAGGTCTGGTGTTAAGATGGAATATGCCGGTCCACTCTTTCTGGTACCTCCCCCACACTTGGACGAAATTTTCAAAAATATATATATTTTCTGCACAGAAAGAAAAAATAATCCGATTTTGCTCCAACTTTGCAAATCCTAATATTTTCATCAGTGTTAGGTCAGGTGAGAAAATGGACAATATCGGTCCACTCCATCCAGTACTTCCCCCACAAATGGTCAACATTTTGAATAATTACAACTTTTATAAAATGTGATGTAAGAGTCCGATTTTCTTCAAATTTCACACATTATTATATTAACCCAAAGTCTGGTATTAAGATGGAGCATATCGGTCCACTCCTTCTAGTCCTCACCCATAAAATCTCACAATTTTCAAAAAGAAAACAAAATATTTTCTGCACAGAAAGGGAAACCACAATCCAATTTTGCTCTAACTTTGCAACTCCTAATATTTGTGTCAGTTCTAGTTTAGATGCAAAAATAAAATGTGGAATCAACATCCGACTCTATTCCAGACTTGGTGCATCTCAATATTTCCATCAACACAAGATCTGTTATAAAGATGGTAGAGATCGGACCATTTCTTATGCTACTTGCCCCACATAGGGTTCAAGAGTTTGAATAATTATAACATAAGTCCTAATATTTTTAAATAATCGAACATTGGCTGAGGGTATACTTCTGTCGGTTAAATAGACCGATACTTTTTTACTTGTTATCCTCTACAACACTATGTATTTGGGGGTATTTTAAGTTTGATTGGGCCAAAAAGATTCCAGCAACTCGAAATAGTGGTCCTCCGATATTTTATATGGATCGCACTATTTACGTCCGTCTATATAGACAACACAAAAGAGTTAAAAATTGCCAATTTGTCCATTAAATTACGAATATTTATAATTTCGACGAAGTCACAAATACACGAAACGGTCACATTTGGCCGTTACTTTGATGCTGACAGCCAAGAAATCGGACATATAGCAACATATGTACAAAATATATTAAAAAATAGATGCTAGTTAGTACGTTTATAACTCAAGAACGGTCGAACTGATTTTTACAATTTTCACCAATTCAGAATGCCCTGTTGGCAAAAAAGGATAAAATCTAACACAATGAATTAAAATTACACAACAACCAGTAAAATTACACAACGACCACTTTGCTAATTTAGTAGAGCTCCGCATAACAATTAAACGTTTTAATGGGAGAATTCAATCATACACGCCATGATTGTAATTATAATTTAAAGTTCAAAGGACAAAATATGCCGAAGCATTTGTGTCTTTTTAATTCGGACTTGTATTGCCCATATGGTGCACAATTAATTTGAAATCAGATAAAGATATATATGGGAGCTATATCCAAATCGGAACCGATCTCGATAAAATTTGGCAAAGATATTTCTGAGCTGTATTTGATATATTTCCCTGAATATCGTTGTTATGGAGTGCGTATTACGGCTGTGGGCAACAAATATAACAAATCGGATGAACAATATATATGGGAGCTATAGCTATAGCTGAACCGATCTTCACCAAATTTGGCATACTACCTTCTAGACTCAATTCGGTCGTATGTGTCAAATTCCCTCCCATTTGGGCAAATATTAGACGTTTGGTGCACAAAAAAAAGGTAAATCGGACGAAGGTATATATGGGAGCTATATTCAAATCTGAACCAATCTGGATAAAATTTAGCAAAAGTATTTCTGTGCTGCATCTGATATATTTTCCCAAATATTGTTGTTACAGAGCGTATATTACGGCTGCGGATGACAAAAATAACAAATCGGATAAACAATATATATGGGAGCTATAGCTATATCTGAACCGATTTTGATCAAATTTGGCATACTTATTTTCAGGCCTAATTTAGTTGTATGAGCAAAATTCCATACAATTCAGGCTGATGTTACACGTTTGGTGCACAAAAAAGGCAAATCGGACGAAGATATATATGGAAGCTATATCTAAATTTTGACCGATTATCTCCAATTTCAATAGGGTTCGTCCTTGGGCCAAACAAATGTTGTTTGCAAAATTTCATCTCAATTGGATAATAAATGCGACCTGCATTTTGTTTACAAAAATACATGGACAGACGGACGGACGGACAGACGGACGGACAGACGGACTGACATGCATAAATCAACTCAGAAAGTGATTCTATGCAGATCATCAAAAGGAACTATGGGTCTATCTCGTTTCCTTTTGCCTGTTACAAACAAATGCACAAAGACATAATACCCTGACCACCTTGTGTACAGGGATTTTCTTTCAAAAGTTTACAAATCTAGTTCAATCCAATTTGACCATTGCAGTGGTTTTAATTTTTTTAGTACACATATAGTTCGAATTTCAAAAGAAAAAGCTCACCCCTACACACAAACACGGCACAATGCAGAATTTCGGGATTCTTCAGCTCTTTTGCCTCTGGGGCGTTGATGAATCAGTCAGTCAGTCATCACTCTTATCTTGTATATATTTAGAAAAGATATGTTTGTAAATGCCATTTGCAGTCTGTTTCATTCGAAAATAAACTTTGAAATGTGTTTGCTTTGAAAGGGGAATGGCATACCGCAAGCATAGGTCAATTACGAAAATTGCCAATATTTTCTGGTGAGAAAATGTGCTCCTGTATCCCCCTCGACCAAGGGTCTAATGTAATGTGAAATTTGCACATCTCACAATTGATATCAATATTATTATATGCGGGAAGATATATTCTTTCTGTTATCTCCCCATCATAAGTTGTAATTAAAACTTCAAGCATGGCAATATTGCTATCAAACTTTAATCAGATTCAAAATCATAAATATCCTCCTATACCTTCCGCTACCACCCCTATAAATTCCCACCTTCTTAATAAAATTCTATGTAGGATTACAACACCTTTACTAAATAGGGCTTGATATAGGCTACGGCCTTAGTTTTTCTATTGCCTTTACTTTGTGCAAAATTATTCCATATTCCAAAATTTCCTTAGAAGTTAAAATTCTCCTTCACCAAATCGAGGTGTTAGCAGCCTTGAAAAAAATCATACATTTGAGCCATTGAATTTCGTTACGTTGTGTAACCTTTAAATGTTATTCTGCTGCCATTGTTGTTGTTTATGTTTAAAGTGTCATTTAATTATACCGACAACAATGGAACTGTGAAATGTGAAAAAGTTTCGAATAATTAAAACAAACGTATATTTAATTACAACACTTTATTGTTATAACATAAATAAAAATAAAAATCACAGGTGCTGGCGACAGATGCTGTTCTTTGTCCTTGTTGTTTTACTGCTGTTGACTGCTGCTGCTGCTGGTGTTGCTGTTTTTGTTTATTTAATTGTCGTTGTGTGTGCGTGTGTGTTTGTGAGTCAGAGTAAAAAACAGACCTACATTATGCAGCTACCAATGCCTTCCTTTGAAATTAAATATTCACAAGCTTTCGCACAACAATTTTTAAATTCATTCCGTATGTGTGAGCATAAAACTGTTAAGTAAATAAATAAGTAAACAACAACAACAAATACCATAACTCCAATGAGAATTATAAGTTAACGCAAATATGGGAGAAGGTAAACGTTAACATTCTACAATAACAACAAGGAGTGGTTTTAATATTCGCATACATAGCCACATAGTTTTGTCGAACAATGGATATTAGTAGGGGGGGTTCATTTGCATGAATTTACGACATATATTTTCTGTAATCGGGTAAATCAAGAGGTATTATCATGGGCCAACCCTATATAACATTGGGCTCGTATAAAACGTAGTTTTCAACACTCATTTTATACCCTCCGCTGTATGTAACACCTCGAAGTATACATTTTAGACTCCACAAAGTATATATTCTTGATCAGCATAAAATTCTATGTCGATTTAGAGATGCCCTTCCGTCTGTGCGTCTGTGAAAATCACTCTAGCTTCCGAACGAAATGTACTATGTTGATACAATTTTACTCAAATATGTATTATGACTGCAGATCTTTTGGTATTGAAAATGGGTGATGTAGGTCCACGTTTTGGTATAGCCCCATATAATGCTTCCTCCCTTTTTCGGTATTTTGGTGATTTAAGCAACATTGATCATCGGAATTGTTCCAAATTTTGTATATGAAGTTCGTAACGAATACTACAGCTTATGACAGAAAATTGTCTGTGCAAGTCCACGTCTTAGTATAGCCCCCATATAATGTAACGCCCCGATATTCGGTATTTTCATGATTTTAGCGACATTATTCACCATAATTATCTCAAATTTTGTATTTAATGTTCGTAACGGTCGCTACAGCCTATGGCAGA